TAAGTGACCACAAGGGCCCCTAACATGTATGAGTAAAATATCGCAAGGGCAGTGTAGTAGCAGTTCAAAACTTGCCTGCGGCTCGACAATACACTCGTAATATATTTCACCTACAGCTCTGCGACTCGTATTGTATCTATCACATACTAGCCTACTATAGTACAACATCTGTCAATCACAAATTAAGCACTTGTCAGATTTTCGCGGTATTGACTGTGAAGTCGGCACAAGGGTGGCCAAGACCATTGACATGAGCGCCATCTAGCGTCAAATCGAGTTTTGGTTTCTACTAGTTGCCTTTTGACGACAACTCGTCGTATTTTGCCGTATTTAATTGTGTTTTGAATTCGACGAATCTGATAACGACGACGACTAATCGTGTTTTCATTTCGACTGATCTGATAACGATGACGACTAATCGTGTTTTGCATTTTTGTATAAACCGCCGCCCATATTTAACTATAACACAATACTTGCTGTGAGCCCAAAAATATTGCACGACTAGAAACTATTGGTTTAAAATATGCCCCTTTCAACAATGAACTGTGCAGCATGGACAAGACAAGTACAACATGCCAGTTTAGAAGATCAGATCACTTATTAGTGGACATCAATCAATGATTGAGACAGGGAAAGTGGCATTATCTTCTTCCACCCTCAGAACAGTCTAAAAACACCAGAAGTAGCAAGGCTAATGAAATAAAACAGATTATCTGTCGTATAAGTGGAAGGAAATCAATGATGGCACTTTTTTTAGCCACCAAGGAAAAATATAAATTGCCTCAAGTGCTATATAATGCTTTATCTTTATCCTATAACCCCAAGAACTTAATATAGGTGATGTTGCAGTTAACGTTTTTTTAAAAATCTGTTTAAGTCAAACCTTATTTATCTAAAGGCGAAGTGGATGCTTCTTTACAATTCCCCATTTGTAATCAATTTGTAACCCCACCCACTTTTTATTTTTCTATCATACACTTTGGGGATAACATGCTGCACAACAGGGACTACAATCAAATTTGTGAGTTGTACTAATGTTTTTTTACACAATCAATCCACTTGTGGCTATATTTAAAGCAGTAGTCCGTAAGCACTTGATAAGTGAAGCTGGATCGAGACAGAAATTTGTTCACAGAGGGCAAAAGAGAGAGCATAAATTTGACGTAAACAGTGACGTAAGAACTGTATAGACTCATTTATTAATTCTCAACTATATATGCTATCTTAATAAATAAAATAATATAAAAACTTTGAAACAAAGAGATATTCATAGACACATAGCAAACAAGGGGTAAAGATTCCATTTATCACTTAACAAATGTTTCGGACAAAATTCTTGATATTCAAGGTTTCTTTATGAATCAACTTTAGAAAATTAATCCTCAATAACCTTCAGTGCACATTAGACAACATAAAGAACACTGCTGTCTTATCCTTATCTTGAGCATTTTCACATCCTCCTCTGTACTCCCTAGTGACCCTTAGCCATAAGGTTAAGTGAGCACATATGAATAATTGGCCAGAAAGCCGCGGTCACATATTACATTATTGTACATATAGCTACTGATCCGATGCAACACAATACCGAACACAAGATGTGTTTTATGTCTGGCACAACTAACACAATAGTAATCTACTGGATGTGACTGGGTGTACAACCAACCCTAATGTAATTGTAAATGTTCATACCAATGGCTTATACATCAAAATGAATGAACAGCCTTTCATTTTGATCTACAATGACTGCGGGTTTTCCCAGGATTGGAGGTACAGGCCATCCAAATTTATCACCTGTAATTTCCTACAAAATTACAGGAAGTCCAAGCCATCATTAAAAAAAATAATAAAAAAAAATAATAATAAATAAATAAATAAATAAATAAATAAAATTATAATAAAATAAAATAAAATAATAATAATAATAAGCCATCCAGCCATCTTTGAAAATATTGGCTGTCTGGTGATGCCACGGGCCATCCAAATGATGGCAGGATGGTTTTGCTGGGAAAATACTTGAGCCAATGACCTATGCTTTGTTGACATACATCTATAATACAGAGCTGCAAGGATGAGAAAATGCTTGGGAAATTCTTGCTCATTACTGTATGTAAACTCTTCACAAAGGATAGAGATACAAAATTGCCTAAATTTGCCCATCATAAACTCTCCCTTTCAAACGTCAGATTGTGAGTATTAACAGTCATGCAATATGAAAAAAAAATTAAAATACAAGTCACTTACTATTATAAAAGTAATGTATAATAAGTGTGACCCAGCATTTATCAGACCGAAATGAGTACAGAAATATACTAATGCCATACAACAATACGTATATATATATATATGGAGTTCACAGGTTTTTGTTTATACATATCACATGTTAACAAAAATGTTTTTTTTTTTCTTTTTTTTTTTTTTGTGGTAAACCACTCAGTTTACTTGTCTCCCTTTTGATCATTTTGATCACCTTCTACACTGCATCTTATAACATTCTATCAATGAAGAAAAAAAAAAAACGAAATTAATTATAACAACTTATTGAGGCAGTATTATTTGAGGTCAGTACTTCAAAAACAATTATGTTTTGCCAAAAAGTACCCTAACACATTATCAGGTGATACAAAACAAGTTTTCTCAGAAGAATGACTGAAGCATCCCTTGGTGGCCCAAGATGCTCTCTTTCCATATATACATGCATGACATCTCAATTCTCCAGATGAAAAACAACACTACACGATCCAATGTTAATTAAGTTCTGCCAGTCAATACTAAGCCATAGAACTGTAACTATAATAGCACTCAGTGCTGCCGAGGGATGGTATATACTGTGCACACACACACTGTTATGAGAACACTAATTTTCACTTAGAGATCAGTATTAGCAGAGAGATAGCACAGAGGGATGTGCAAGGGTTGCTGTTAGCACGACTGTTAGGGGCTCTTTCCCTTATAGAAAATTTAGAATTTAATTTATTACTATTTCCTAACACAGTGGCTTGCAGTGATATCACATAGAAAACCATTTGTTGGGGTCAAAAATGATCACAAGTTCCTTTTCTAGTGAAAAGCTTATTAGTATACAAAATGGAACTGGCTTTTATCCTGCACAAAATTATTCAAC